CTGGTTGCAATTCAAGCGAGCACGATGACACTAGGCAGCCGAGACCTCCAGCTTCCCCTTTTTGGCAGGCCCATGGTCGGGGCAGCATTGTGTCAGGTGATAGCTGTGGTGCTTTCCATAAGCGACTCCTAAATTGATGAAGAACCCTCATGTTAAATAAATATACATATAGTGCAATGCACTGCCTCTTCCAGGCAGACGGTTCGAATCCCAGATTTTTAGAAATGCCCAGATGAACCTTAACCCAACCCTACTGGTCTTGCTTGCTGGAGGGAACAGTTGAGCTTTTTTTAAATCCTTTAACAATGATGAAACCTTAAGGTAAGAAAGCCCTTAATTTCTCACAGTGCAAAGTACAATTAAAGGGGACTTTGCACCATGATGTCCTTTGTCAGACTTTGGATGGATGTGAACGAACAGCTCAACTTAGCTGGTTTCTCCCCCTCTGCCCCCAGCTCAGGGGAAAGCTCTCTGCTGCCTGTCGCCTCAAATATTAATAACCTTATCCAAGAAAATGAAATAGAGTGCTGCCTTTTTGTTTTCCTTTTTTTTTTTTCCCCCTAGGAGTTCACATACTAAGTATCTGCATCCAGGTTTTAGTGTCTCTTACTAGCCTGAGAAATATTTCCTTGTATTACTTTGAGGGCTGGATTTTCCAAAACCGAGGTGAAACACTGCTCTTCTACAAAATCCAGCAGAGTTTTGCTGTTTACCTTCACAGGGCAAAGGCTCACGCTCGGTGTGCAGGACTGCGCTGCACTGGGCACGCACCCGAAACTCATCCTGAGCAGGTGAAATACAGGCAGTGTGCTTGTGATTTTTAAAACAGAGCAGGGACACATACACTGTCATCCAGTAAATGCAAAAGTATTGCATACCTTGCAGACATCAGGACCCTGTTTGCTTCAGTACCCTCCTGGAATGTTCATACAGTTTCCAGTCTGCCAGTGCTTTTTCTCTTTTGTGCTAGTGCTATCTGAAATTCAGCATTTTAGTTCTCAGAGAATGATGCCTGGGCTCTGGTTTTTCACTCTAATCTTGCTTGAAGTTTTCAAATTGATTGCTTGGTTCTGCTTCAACTGGAAAAAAAGCATCCCAAATTCATCAGGTAATACAGTATCTCCACAAAGACGTGAACAATCTTAAATTATTTGAAATCTCTCCTAAGATGTCTGAGACATTTGTAACTCCAACCTGAATTTTGACTCATGAGCAACATAGAGGACGTCACCTTTTACACATACTTGACCTTCTTTCAGATTTTTGTTTTGGTCACTGAGTGGCTCCAAAAGTTGAATTTAATCACGAGATCCACTAATCTGTTTAAACGTATGTTAAAACCAGTTAAGCTGGCTTTAAGCAAGCTGCAGAGGAAAGCTAGAAAATCAACTAAGCAGGTCAACGACTTTAAAGTATTAAAGCTAATTTAATAGTAAGTTTAGACTAGTTGAGTTCACTGCTTTGAAAATTGTATGCGATAAAACTGGGGCTGAGGATTCTGCAGGCGCTGTCAGTGTAGGACAGGGCAGGTGTACAGGTGGGTCCCAGCCATGTATTCATCACTTTAAAAATTGAAAAACCACTGCTTAGATGGCAGATTTATTGGTGGAAGGTAAGTCAGGCCCCTCCTACATTTATACACACTTGGTTTGCAGCAAACACATCTTAACAGATTTAAGAGCACTAAAGCAGGTGGCTAAATGTTTGCAAGTCTGGGCACTAAGGTCCTCACCCTACCTACCAACATCTTCCAGTATTTTAAAGCCATGACTAAACCTAAAGAAAGAGAAATAATTTTAAACGGTTTTAAAGATTCCCCTGCCCCCTCCCCCCGAAAAACCCCACAAACTCAAGGACCCAAATATAGACCTTTTTCCCCTAGAAGTGACATTTTTTCAATCATTTAATAATTTTGGACATTTAAAAAATGGTTTTAATTTGTTCCTCATGATCCATTCCTTTACAAAACACACTGGGAAAATGAGGTAAAGGAGGATAAGGAAAAAAACTAACAACTTCATATGTTTGGCAAAAAGCTATGCCAAACACAACCATTTCTTTCATTTAGAAATTTATCTGTAATTGTTTAGGAAGCACTACTCCTGACATTTCACAATGAATACAAATAAAGAATAAAACCTACAAACATTTACAAAACACGCTTACAATAAAGTGATAGAGGCCTTTAAAATGTTGAGTATTTTTGGCAAACTCCTTGTTGGGTTAGGTTGTTTTGTTCAGAGATGGAAAACAAATCATAAGCTTAAATGTGCATCAGTACTGCAAATATTTGATTACTCTTTACGGTGTATTCATTAGAAATTTGTTTAGCTTTGCTTTAGACATTTCAAACATTTCCACTGCTTCCTTGACAGACCAAAATATTCCAGTCTACTACAACAGCCAGAAAGGCTTCCTGATCTTCAGCCAAAATTCCCTTTTCTTTACATCACCTCACTACTCCTGATTATACATGTCTTTGTATATAAAGTTCTCCCACAGTAAGAATTAGACTCTTTCAAAATACTCGCCACCAGAAATGTTATGCTTCACTCATCTCCAGCCCACTCTACATGTAGCTGTCTACTGCCTTCCTCACGACCATACCTTAAAATCTTCTGTTCTTGTGCTTTTAAAGGCCTTCCAGCTGTCGACAACTTTCCACTAACACAGGGCTAAGCAGGCTAGAGGTAGCTGAGATACTGGAGCCATGTGTGAGCGGTGTAGTGAGTCCAGGGCACTAGAACTTCTATTGCTGTTCATGAAAAAAGCTCTGTGGACACCCCTAAAGAAGGGAAGCAGACACTGTGGGTTTTGCATGTTAAAGGTTGCACCGTCTCCAAATGCGGATTGAATCAGTAGTATTCGCTTGCCTCTCAAAAAATTCAGAAGTAAGAACCAAGTGGGCTTTTTTCCTCCTTTTACTCCCAAATAACTAAGTCATGTCTAATTTGAACCTCAGATAACACATGGTCTTTTAAAAATGCCATTCCTCCCTCCCAAATCACCACATAAAACTAGATGCGGGGACAAATGGGGGGGAAAAGCAGCTACAATCTCATCCTCGCTTCTTACTTTAGACATGTAGACTTTGTAACGTCTAGACACATAGACATGTAATCCAGACTCATCCTGCATAAATAAATAATAATGTATAACAATATATAGTATTAATATCTAAGCACAATAAAGCAGAAGTAATAAACCTGGGCACAACATTTGAAAAAAGTAGCAAAGTTTTGCCACTTACCTAAAACATGCTTGAAAAATTTGGACTTGTCAAAATTTCTCTCTTTAGAGAAAGAAACAGTTACACCTGTAACCTGTGACCTGCATTTGCCAAGCAGCAGACAAAGATATTTTCTGGTTGCTAACACATCTAGAAAACCAATCACACCCTAATCTAACTCATTTTGCCTGCAGCTTCCCTTTTATACAGTGCAAAGGAGCCCACTTGCTACAATATAATTGTAGTGGCGTCGTTGTTTTGAAGCACTTGTACATATCTCCATTGGTAACTTTCCGTCTCTGCCCCCCCTTCTTTGCTGGGTCATCAGCTGTGAAAAATCTCCATTTACTAATAATCTCTTTTGACCCTGCTATGTGCCATAGGGGAACAGGTAACTTTCAGGATAAATTAAGCAGCCTCCAGTGTGCTCATTTGCTGTGAATTTTTTTTGCCTTTGCTACTCTGAGGACAGAAAGTAGATGTTTTGACTTGAGGAGAAAGTGGCAAAGGCAGTTTGCTCTTTTCAGCATAAGTTAAGTGCAAGCTTTCCCAGTTTCCGATCAAAGAGCCTCTCCCTCTAAAGTGAAAGCTGATGATACATCTGCCCTCAAGCATATGTTTTCAAAGGCAAGATGACTAAATAGGGGGTTGTTTCTATGGCAAGGTTATGTAGTAGCACTTATTAAAAACCAAAACCTTCCCTTTCTTTCCTAGTGCAGACAATCTGTGTTGCATGGTTTATTACTAACACTCTGAATCTGATGGATATAAAAGAATGGTAAATGACGCGCAAGGTCTACTTTAAGGCCAAAATGAAAAAGGGTTTTGCTTAGGGTGAGGAGATGAATGGTTGTTTTAGTTTCCTTTAGCTGGTACATTCAAACCTCAGCTGAGCTCATAGATCTCTCTTATTAAGGTGCCATGTGTGCAGAGTTTAACAGCTGACTTTTGGTTTAAAGTGGCCTTAGCTGTTTACCTTTCCTGCACCATCCTTGTTGTACAAGCAAACTCATGACTATTTTCTTTTGTTGCCTGTTACACTGACAAACAAACAGAGCCTTCCTGTTACATGATTCCTAACTAGAAATGAAGGAAAAAAAATCACATGAAAACCTAAACAAAGTAATTTCAAGTTTTCTTTTGGCTTCTGTACAAAAAACTGAGAATTTGATGATGATTTTCTCAAAACAACAGTGTAGACTGGTTTCCATGGCAAATTTTCCTTCTAGAATAACTTGGGTTGATTGCCTACACAACTAGGGTAATAGTTAATGAGAAAAATCACAACAGTTTGGCAATTCTCATGATTTGGTCTTGGATGAAGGTCTCCATAGGCAATAGAAGCTTGAGCAGGGCAGGCTTGAACAAAATTGCTGCTCAAGATAGCAACTATCTTCTGTTACAGTATATTTTAGATTTGCACTCTGAAAAACACTTTATAAAAATGGCCTGAGTTTGGAGTCACAAGAAAAATAAATGAAAACTGAAAGTTCTTAATATGTCTGAAAAAATCAAGCCATCTTTCTGGAGATACACAAGGAGGAACTGCAGGTTTAACTGTCATTGTCCACGTCTGAATATTGTGGCTGACAAATGCGGAACAAAAAGGTGTGACTAATGCAAAGATTGCAAAGTACAACATGTCATGGCTTAGTGTAATAGGTCCTTTGCATTATACAAGCATATCTTTCAAAAACAAGCATATGGTCTGCTTTTGTAAAAAGGAGTCGAGTTACTCATAGCTAAAGCAACACTGTGTCTTCCCTCTCAGAGATCCAGCATGCCACAGTACAAGCTGACATACTTCAATCTGCGAGGACGAGCAGAAATCAGCCGCTACCTGTTTGCCTATTCGGGCAAGAAGTATGAAGACCACAGGATAGAAGCAGCAGACTGGCCTAAAATCAAACCAAGTAAGTAGCACGGCATCTTATATCCAAAGCTCCTCTAGAAATGCTGTCAAAAAGGAAAGCAATTGAAGAGATACCTATATGTTTCACGAGCAGAAATACATTTAATTCCTGGCTTTAATTAAGTCTATAGAAATTTTATTGTCTAAACAGCCAAAATATCATTCCTGATGCTCTCACAGAAGTCTGAATCCAAATCTTCAGACAATCTAAAATTACTTACCTGCTGTCATCCAGCTGGGCTTTTACTGCTTATCAATTCAGTTTAGCTTTTGTCTGCCTAAAGCTAACCAAATGCATGCTGATCTTCTCAGCTTCTTTGGAGGATTTGGTCTCAAAGACCACACGGCAGCCTTCGCCCTGGTTCTAGAAAGCCAAATTGGAAGTAAGTGTCAAAAAGGACACTCCTTTGCAAACAGAAAGGTCTTCAGAGAGGGAAAGTGATGAGAAAAAAACAAAAGAAAACAGTTGATACAGGAAAGAGGAAAAAAAAAAAAAAGAATCAAAAGAGGCGCTACAAAATAATTGTTCCTAAGAACAAGCCCTACCAGCCCTTCCAAGAGTACTCTGTGGGCTACTATACCCCATCCATTTCATTTTTTTTTATTTAAAGTAACCTCTTTCCAGCTATTAAAGCTATTTGTTATTTCAGTTCATTAATTTAATGAATGAATAGCCTTAGTTCAAATGAAACAGATCTTGAGTTTGGAGACTGGGGATATGAAACCAGATGTATCTGTGTCTTCATTTCATGGATTTGGCCTGTGTTTTGCTACACAAGCTATGACTTTTCACATCCTTTAGAAAAACACCTTTAGTTTGGGCAAAAGTTACAACTAACACACAAGGTGATAGCTATTAATCAAGCAATGTTTCTTGATAGGCTTTCACATCATTTAATAAGCCCAGCCAGTGGGCTACCAAATTCTTTTAGGGTGCAGTTAAATTTGGTCTTTCCCATAATGTTCGCAGTGGCTTGAATGACAAATACTCAAGCACCGCTGCTCTCCAAGTGGCAGCTGAAGCTG